CCATCGCAAGTACAGATGCTTTTAGACTTCTATCATCTGCTTCTCAAGCAGAATATAATTACCATCAACTTGATACCATAAACTCAGAAAACAACTCCCCCAAATCTCGCCTCCGCCGCCTTCCGCGATATTCAGAACTTCGTGCTGCACTTTCTTCAGAACCTATCTGCTGCGATTTAGCTCTAGAGCCAGGATCTAGGTCATCTTCTGGGGGCCAGTCATCTATCCCTTCCGGCAACATATTCTTTCCCTCTTCCGGCCATCCCAAAACCCAAAGGTTTTCTGCGGCAACTTCCGGCCCTGCCTCAACTTTGGTCGGCTCAGATAATGACACGAGAATATTTAGTTCAGGGGATGAATATGAAACTGACTTCCAAAGCGATACAGCCTTTGACTCGTTCCCTACCCGCGTGGGACTGGGTGGCCCACCGACTCAGCGTGGCCCACGCATCGAAACGATATTTGATCATCCATCCCAGTTGGAACTTGCTGACAAAAAGCTCAAGGTCCTTGAAAACGTAACGTCCGAAGTGGCTTCTGAACAGTTAAGTATAACCGGTGGTGATGATGCTTTCATTATCCATGAAAATGACCTATCATCATCTGCTACTCGACTTCACATCTTACCATCCGACCCCGATCACGAATCTAAACAGCAGCTTGAATCATTAACGCCAGCTGTAACAGATTCTGGAAATTTAAATGATAGTGTTATTGAATGGAATAGCTTAGATGATATAGAACCTATGGAGGACGGGGATTGCCAGTTGTTTTCATTTCATGAGCCTTGTCCTGGGCCCCACGCCAGCCAATGTTTATCGGTGGTCCGGTCAAACATAAATCGACCTCATTCATCCATAACCCTTGGCGAAACTTGCGGTAGAGAGGCGCGAATCTCACTTTTCGACTGGGCAGAGAAACAATCCAATGACAAGGACGTTCAGGGCTCGGAGTCTAGACCCAAAACGGCTGTTTTCAGCAAGCATGTTCCTGACACTCGCGGAGGCCGCACTGTGATGCGTCGCGTTGGTAGCGCCGTTCACCTTAGAAGCCAAAGCGTTCCCATTTCCCGCGAGCCTTCACTCTCCAAGAAAGCCCAACAATACACGAGTCCGAAGTTCGGTACGTGGGGTTTGGGGAATAAGGGTGTCAGCGAGGATTGGGATGGTGACTTCGAGTTTGACGATTCAGATAAACAAGATGAGTCGAAAGGGAACGATGCGGATCTAAACCTAATGCCTCCCAATCAATGCATGAAGGTACCTAAGGCCATCATGGAACGTCAAGCTAGTGTTCATGGGCAGTTTGGGCATGTTCAAGAATTAACATTACTAGTGGAGGAACTAAAACGACTTCGCATCAGTGCCCGCGCGTTGGGCATACTCGATGGCCCCTCCAGTGAGCTGTGGAAGGAAGCTAAGGGTATCATCAACCTTGCGACTTTGGAAGATGACGAAGAAGATGAAGGAGACTTTGACACTCAACATTCAGTGCCAGTGTCTCCAAATTTTAGTAATAAAGATTCGGACGATGATTTCTTTTCCAGCGGACAGACAAACAGCCCCGACAACGACGGCAACAATAATACTCGTCCCTCGCCTCTTTCGGAGAGAATAAACTCAACACCTGCCCTAGCCCCTCAGCTCCGTCCAAGGACGGACTCCTCCGTGAAAGCGAAATTCGTCCTCGACACGATTCACCAACAGCGCGGTCTCCAGGACCCCGCGTATCTTGAAGCCAGTGCAAACCCGCATCAAAAGCTACCATTCGATACCCAGTCACTGCGTGACCTTGTTGTTCGAGCTGGAGTTGTTACGAGGGCACTTAAGGATGTCGTTCGAAAGGCGGAGGGAGTCTGCACGGGTTCTGAAACCGACTTTGGTCCCCAGGATCCTCCGTTTAGCCACATGTTTACACGCCCATTAAGTGGCACTGAGGCTTCTTTTCTTCCGGATCTGGCCCTGTCCAAAGATGCCAATGGATATCGGGGTAATGCTACTGGCACTGCTCCGAATGAGAATGATGGCTGTGAACGTATGACACTGATGACCGTTGTATGAAAGCAATTTTACGTCAGTTGAGACAATTCAACAATACAAATGCGATAAACGAGGAAAATACCCCAGGAAGTATTGTGTTTGACAGATACATGTCTTTCTCTTAGTTTCTTCAGTTTGCTAGGTGTTTCTTTGTGTCCTTCATTAACAAGTTAATACCCTTGGTAAATTTCATCTTCTCTTTTCCTCTCCTTGTTTCTTTTAGGGTATTTTGTTTTTGATTCTGCTTTTGCTTCTGTTTTTCATTCTTGTATGGGTATACCGGATTTCTGCTTTACACGGACTTGTCATGGGATACACTTTATGTTTCTAGTTTTTCCTCCATTATCTTCCCTTTTCTTTCATCTTTCTGCCTCCCCCCTTTCTTTCCTCCGTTTTTCATCACTCTTGTTCAAAAGATTTTCTGTCTATTGAAAATGAATTGAACCACCTTCATGACAGCTACGGCTATGAGAGAAGAGAAAAGAAAAGAACAAATATTTTTTTTTGACGCCTGATACGGTGCACATGAGTAAAAGGAGTCTTTCTTTCCTATTTGTTTTAGTTTTTGATGTGTGCTTATATGTACTACGGGAAAAAACACGGGGATGGCTGGAAGGGCAGATATATGTGTGTTCCTGTGTGACATGGTGAGTAATGTTTAATGTATACACATGTACCCAGGTAGGACTGGTGGCTATTGTCTCGATACGTCACACCACATCCTTTCGCTCTCCGGTTATCCCAAGGCCAATCGTGTACGGATGTTATAACAGAGGGTTTTTTTTTTTTTTTTTTTTTTTTTTTTTTGAAATCATTTGCGCGGCGTGATTTCTTTCTCTTATCCTCCTTCCTGACATTTTTCTATCTCTCTCCTCTCTCCTTTCTCGCTCTTCATTAAGAGTATTGATTGTCGTGATACTTAAAATGTTTGTTTCTTACTTTTTCTTTTTCTTCTCCTGGATGGAAGATTTGAGCGTTAAGCAAAATGATTTGATTTGATTGAACTGTTTTCAGCTATTAAGCAGATTGTTCTTAATTCAATTCCCTCGTAGCACTCACTCTCTTGCTGCTTTCCTTGAAATTGAAGGGTTTTATTTTCCATTCCACTCTTCTTCTCTGCCTCGACTCTGGCTTTATTTCCCCCCCCTGCATTTTCATTCTGATTTCAAAAAGCTCTCTCCTATGTCTAGCATGGCAGAGAGTATTATTACTCTTGTGTAGTTGTCCTCGATCTGTCAATAGCAAATTGGTTTATTCTATTTATTTATTTATTATTTCTAAGGCTGTTTGTGTTTCAAGTTTTCTTTTCGTTTCTGCATTTGCTTTGTAAGAGTGTGAAGATTTAGTTAATAATGTATATAGGTGCAGCCGTAAATGTCTAACCAACTACTCTACGTGGTTTATCAGCTTTTGAGAGTTTTCCACGACGAACCCCATTTTGATGGAAACTGCGTAAACAATACGGTTAGTTATGTAGCGGAACATATCGAATCTTTGAATTACATGGATGATGGATCCACACGTGTTGTGTTCAAATACTCCTCAGAGGCTCCAGGATTGTGAGCCCCTTACACTCAACTCAGTAACTAGGTCCTGATAAGTAACTAGTTAGTTAGACGGGCTGACTAAGCCCGGTCGTCCAACCAGCCCCCTTTTTTATGGTCGCTGAAGCTTTCACACAACCATCTCCGACATCACTGCTCCTAGGTACGCAGTATATATCTCAAGGCTCTGTGATTTTGACTTAGGCCTTCTACACGTTGTAATCCCAACACGGAATTATACGAATGATGGATGAGTCCTCCCATCATCATCTTCACTAACGAGCACCTTACCTTATGGTGAAAATCCGTGGTTAGGAAAACAGCAGCATAGCTTGAATGCTTCTGGTGAAAAGTGAACTTTGCTCACTTCTTTTCCATCTCCCAATTTTTCTCGGGTTAGGCAAGAGTTTGAAATTTGACGATGAAACCCCTCAGAATGACTGACTCTCTGGATGCTAGACTGGTCGTCTATTGTCTCTCATCATTGACACCTCCAACACATCTCTTCGATACAGCTTCTATCTTCCCCAGTCCCTGTCACCGTAAGGTGCTGCTGTTGGTTAGTTTCTCATATTATCATAACTGATAAACCGCCCACAGCAAACTACGACTGGGCTTGTCATGTCGGTTTGGCCCTTCCGACTCCTTATATCATTTGCTGAGTTCTTCTTTCAGTCATGATATTTTCACAGCAGCCATGTTTAATTTTCCCATTCCTTTCAGAATATTTAGTGTATTATTTTACTACGGCTTGTGATATATCTCCTCAAGATCACATTCTGTTGGTTCTTGCAATTCTGATTTCCGAAGTGAAGTTGCACGACCACTGCGCTGAAAGTGAGATAGAAGTGTATATGAGACGACAATATAGTGGCTTTGAAATAGTTGCAAGCGGAATTCACCTTTCATGAGCCACAGATATACGAAACTACATTCCCCTTCCTATTTTGACTCATCCTTAATTTCTCCTGCAAGCTAAATGAAAAAGGGTGTTGAATCTCATTGTCAGAGGAAGAATGATTTCACGGCGTAGAGCCTGCGTGAAGAGCTTACCGGGAGAGGTATCAGTATTTCAATCCCCGTATCTCGTTTTCTATTACGTACTAACTCTCGAGGTTTTAAGTTGATTTAGCTGAGCGCCATACTCGTGGCAGATGATGCCGATCTGTGCCGCATGGCCCGTACCCGCAGATACTTAACGGAATCTATTCTTCCGCCCAGCTCTGGAGTCTGGAATGCAAGGTTCTTGGAGAAGTATGATCCCCTGGCGGCAGATAGTACTTCAGAAGACGTTAAAGTGGAATACGGAGTGCGCAGCATCATGCTGGCGCAAACGCCTTCTTTCCAAAATGGAGAAGGGGCCAAGGAGAAGCTGTGGCTAAACATCTTGTCTACGCTTCTTGTTGGTAAGATGCATTTTCCCTTTAAGCAGCATCCTTTTATATCGAAAACTGCGACTAACTCTAACAGGATCCTACAATATCCGCTCATACCAACAAGGTGACGAAGACACATCAGCGCCCAGGGACTGTGCTCGGATCAAGGGGGCTATTATGTGCTGTGATCCTTTATAGCCCGGCAGTCTGTAATAGTTTAGATTCCCCGATAACCTCTAGCCGGTAATCCCTTACGGTCCAGCCGGCTGCGACATATCTAGCTTTGGATCTCCGATTCTCTTTCTACTCTTTGAGAATTGACTATGACTTGAAGGTTGTATACATATGGGTGCCATTTCATGCCACCATTGCCCATTACTGCGTCTCATGATGAAGAGGGCATCGACTTATTCCAACTTCTACATATCCTAAATTTTGGAAGAGAAATTTAACAAACCGGATGCTATCTATACGTCTTACCATAGTATCCCGGAAATTAGGAGGATAGTTCTCCTCCAATGGTAACCCTCGTTTCCTTTATGTGGTGAACAAGTTCGAGAACAAAACCCTCTACTTCGATTTCCAGAACACTACACATATATAGCTAATCAATCCTTATCCTAGCTCCTGAAACTCTGACTCACCACAGATGCATCGATATGGTTCCCCTTTTCGACGAGAACTACCCGGGAAGCCCTCACGTCGACAACTCATCCCGCACTTACTTCCGCTGCAGCACATATCACGTCGATAAGCACCACAAAATCAGCAATAACAACGCCGGCAACTGCTGAAGCCAATCCCTCCCCCTCTCCGTCCGTGGCTTCGTAGAAGATTTCCCCGCCCAGGCCGGCACCCCGGCTTGCGTCCTATACGCTTTGTAACGTATGCCATTAAACCTGGATTTTATGCCTTCGCTGGTGATGTCAATGGCAGTGGCAATGGTAATAGCATCAACAACGGTGGGGTTGAGGAGGAAGGGTGTGGCCGTCAGTGGACATGGACAGAGTTAAATTTCGAGTTTACGAATGGGTATGAAGGGGTGATTGTTCCTTGGTGGTGGTTGGGGGGGGGGGGGAAATTATGATGGGGATTGGAAGGATGTGATGGAGGAGATGGGGCCGTTTATTTTCTAGGTTTTTGATCTTATCTGGGAATGGTGGTGGGTTAGGAGAAAAAGGCGTAGGGTGGAGTTAGGGCAAGAGACTCGGAATTGTGCAGTGAGTTTGAGGGAAGTTAGGGGGGGATAAGGAGTGAGCGGCTAACCCCGATGAAATTATGGGTTTTGTTGTTCCCAGACTTCGATGCGATTTATGTTACAGATTGAAATGGTGAACGGGGTGGTAGAAGGGGATCCTTAGTGTTCGAGGAATGAATAAGTTTTCCTGCTGAGAGGACAGAGATAACCGCAGAAATAAAATCGGTTTATAATCCCAGCTTTTCCATTCTAAGTCAGGTAAAAGAAGCGGCTTCGTTCGCGGGCGAAAAGAGAAACATATATGAACAGAAAACATACGCCCGGCTATATCATTAAAAAGGATGAAAAATGATAGAAAAAGATAAATTAAACCTCCCCGTTCTTCCTCACTCCTCGATATCCTTCACCTTCTCCCACTGCCCTTTCAAACTCTCCTTCCACAAGCTTACCTTATTATCACCACCGCTGACAGCCAAAATATTCCCACTCAGACTCCAGCTGACACGCCACAAGACACTATCGAACTCGAGGTGTTGGCTAGTCCACTCGGCAGGGTTTGTTGGGTCGGATGTCCAGATGCGGACGGTTTTATCTTGGGAAGCGGAGGCGATGTAGGATCTGGAGAGGATGCTAGGAGACCAGGCCACGTCGCGAACCCAGTCTGTGTGGCCTTCCAACACCTTGACCATTGCGTAGGTCTTGCTTTCCGGGCTGTTTGATCATGTCAGGAAAGAATATCCAATTTTCCAACCATGCAGATGAGGACTTCGAATGGCGTATATAAAGAAAAACGTACTTATATTCCCATATCTTTACGAGATTATCGCTCCCACCAGTCACAAATCTACGCAACTGTCCTACGCTGGGTGTCGCGCTAATGATAGATCCAGGAGCCGCGGCGGGTGCCCAACTGACAGAATTGACTCCCATACCATGTGCATGAAAGATTTGGTGGGTCCAGCTGTTGTCGCTGAACTCAAGCACGCTGACGTTGCCATCAGATGAAGCACAGGCGAGCAGACATCCACTCTCGTGGGGCGCCCATGATATGGCGTTGACGGAAGCGGTGTGCAGGGAGAAGTCGAAGACTTTGGACCAGGAGGTACCAGGGGATGTGGAGGCGGTGCTTGAGGCTTGCTCCCGCCATATGAGGACTTTGCCGTCGTAGGAGGAAGAGGCTAGAATTGTTCCGAATTTGGGATGCGCCTGGTAAATTTAATGAGTTTTATCAGATATTTTGGGAATGTATTTTTGACGAGGATTGAAATTGTACGAACCCAAGCAACACACCATACTGCTCCCTCGTGTCTTTTTAAGTACAATCACCCTTAGTATTAGGCAGTGTAATTTCTAGTGAAAAATGGGGAGTTCCATACCCTTTCAGCGTCTCAAGATATCTATGAGCGGCGCCGTCTACCTCGAAGATCTTGATTGTTTTGTCTGACGAACACGTTGCCAGTCTGCGACCGTAATAGTCTAACGCTGCGTCATGCTATGTGAGGCGGAGTTTGGTTAGAGCTGGTAGGATATATCACAAGAGAAGTGAAGCTGTTAAGAGGAGTAGTTGCAATAGGAGGTTGCATACGATCATGTCATCGTGTCCAGAATTCGTTATAACTTGCGCCTAGAGAGCGGTTAGAGCAGCACAAACGAAAGCTGTGGGATAGGGGAACTCCTCACCATCTTGGCTAGAGCGGGCAAAATGGCAATGGCAATCGCGTGTATGTGAGGAAATTGTCGGTGGTATCCGGTGTCTATTGTTTGCTGTATCCGTGTTTCTTCGCCGATTGATCTTCGAACGGCAGCTAGGCGCGATGGCCGCGAAGACTTGATTTGGACTAAGAGATATTTAAGCGCCACCCAAACAGGCAAATTTAGACGCAGCGCCAAGCCCTTTCTTATTAGGGCGCCACTGCTGACATAAGCCCTTGTTACCCCATCCAGCCATGTTGAGCCTCGGTCCAACCAGGCATTCTTTTATCGTCAACATCACTCATGAACTCAGCACAATCATATATACCACCATATGGTACCTATAGGCGAATAGAGGGGAGAGTTGGTGACTTAAAAGGACAAAAAGAGTGCATCCTGTACATATGTACATATCCCTCGATATATGTCTTATCAAGATAGCCTCAATCCTCCCAAGATCTATCTACTCCTGCCGAATTACCTAGATACCACTCATACTGTTGAACAACCTTGTTCTCGACTCTGACTCCTGTTTCTAGTCCTGTGATTTTGAGGCCTATTTGACTACAGTTGATATATCTGAAGTGTTATTTCCCCTATTACCGGTTACGGATTGCGGCACGATGGCGGATGCGCTTTGCGGCCCCTCAAATGCTCTCCAGAATTTTCAGAAACATTCCTCCGTTGATAGGACTCTTCAACAAGACCGCATACTTTCCCGCCAATCGCCTACTCAGGTATACGCTCCCAAATTTGGATTCTACCTCTCAACTGCACTCTGTTTTACTAATCGTCCAATAGGGGTTCCGATCACAAAACCAAAATGATGGCGCCCTAGATCCGGAATTCAACGCATTCGAAGCAGGTCTTCACGGGGCTCCTCTTTCTGATATCCAACACCCTGCGTCATTTTTGCCTCCAGCAGCCCATGGACCGGTGCTTAATCATATTCACAACCCGGGGTGGGCGTCGGATTTCCAAAACCTACAAATTTCTGGTCCTTCCCAACATGTATCCCAACAACAATTCCGGCCAGAATCATCTGCTAGCGGCTGGCAGAATGATTTCATGCGACAAGCCCATCCAAAACCCCAGTCTCAAACGCCTGCAACACAAACATCTCAAATGCCCCTTAGATACGGCCCGGTTATGGGTGTGATGGGATTTGGTGGGATGAGCAGTCACCACTCAGTGTATCAGGATCCATACCAGTCCCACGTCCAAGAACATAAGGAACAATTTGTCTTTGATGAATCCGCTTTCGAGGCAGCTTTTGCCGAAGCCCGAGCGGAGGTTGAGCTTCAAGAGCAGAAATCGCAAGAAGAGGGGACTACAGAGCCACTTGAGATTCAGCAAACCATTAGAATAGGCTCAGACACCATACGACCCCCGGTTGAGGGGACGAACGAATCCGATGAACTCGCCAAAACAGCCGGACAATTACTCGACAGCGTCAGCCATGACCAAAGCCAGAAATTTAAAGAAAGCAACTTCCTTGCACTAATGCGACAACTCCGCGATCGCGAGGTCGTCGTCGACGGCGATGAATTCCTCCCAGTCAGTACCCTTCCATAAAAATATAAAAATGATTTTCCTGGGGAGATCAGAAAAAGCGCATGGACAGCGGTACACTTGATTTTATAGATTTATCACAGTGTTGCTTGTCTGTGCGTGCTAACGAAGGCCTTTCAGACGGCACAGCCACTCCATCCTGGCGGTCAGTATTATCCCGAACAGAAAAGAGCCCAAGAAACCGATACCGGAGCTGCTCCTATTTTAAATACCATCGACAGTGGAACCAGCAAGTTGAGCGATCTTGAACAACCCACCACACCCTATCCGAAATCAAGGGTTCCTTACGAGATGCCTGATTCATATCAACCAGTATAGATATTAGAATTTGGAAGTTACGTCCACGATCTTTTCAAATTCATCACTTGAGTATTTCATGAAGAATGAGCCGTGATGTTCGATATGAGAGAAGCGGGCTGAAAAAGTGTTTTATGTTGGATAAATACACTGTTCACCCAGCGACCTGTACTGGCTTTTCTTATTGCCTTGGCCTTGTTGGTTTTAAGCTCGTTGTTTGACTTGATCGAGGAGGCAAAGCATTCCTGGGAGTTTGGAGCATCACGGGGTTTGTACGAGTATTTTTGTATTTTAGATATACTATCCGTTTTACCATGCATTCATAACTAGCGCATTACAGTGGATGCAGCAGCCAGAATACATAATTTTCAAGTCCCAAGGTTGGATATTGGACACAGTCTTATGGTTATTCAATAACAGAGATCATTTCCGCACAATATATGCTAGAAGCAGATACCCAATAAGTCCTGTATGTTGTATGTTTAATTTTCAAAGGAGCTGCTGCGAAAAGAGTAATTGTATTTGTTAATTAAAAAATAGATGATCAAGTTTTATTGTAGATACTGTTCATACATCCATGGCTGTCTTATATGTTTCTGTGATTGGATGTTGCTAGTGGCATCCCTTAATACATCGGCTGCACTTTTAGTTGAGCCTCAACTTGCCCCAGTCAATTGCCAGCTTCTACCACACCACCAAACAACCATCAACCAACTATCAGCAACAACAACAGCGACCCCACTTCCTCCTCCTTCCCACATTACCATCCGGATTCCAATTCTGTCCACTCGCCGCGTATTGATTTACAGCATAGCCATTCATTACACATACCGTTTGACTCAGTCAACATCGCCCTCTCATCTGTCCGAGCTCCTATATTTGTTGCCAGACCCTCGCAGCCCCATGCCCTCATATCGTCACCCACTCTCCCTTTCGCTCCTCGAATCCCTATAGACCGAATCTAGTATCATTCCGCGATCTCTGCGCCTGTCTCTCCTTTCATATTTCTGTACCAGACTCTCACTACCCCTGCCATAGACACCCAACTGCTCCAATTCCGCTCCGCATCGCAAAAGCAAACTCTCGTTATAAGCGCCAACCCTGTCCAATCTGATATCGATATACTCTGTAAGATCATTTAAATATCTCCTCCCATCGCTTTGTCGGACAATCGAGACCCATCAGGCTCGCCCAACACGGCGCTGCCATCTCATTCAGACCGCACCACGACAACCGTGGAGAGCCCAGACGATTCCTATACCGTTCCTCCTCCTCCCCATTCGCCTGGCTGTGCCTCTTCCTCGAACTCACCCTTTCCATTCCCCTCTCCCTCTCCACCGCCGTTCTCATCCCTCTACTCAGTGCAGGACGAAGAGCTCGGTTACATCCAGACGTCTATCACAGAGTCTAGATTTCCGTGTCTCCCAGCCTTCGCACCGACACCTCCATTCGAGGAATCATTGACGTCTCCATTACCTATTCACCCTCCTGTCGTTTTAGATACAAAGGCACAGCTTTCGCGGGATAAGACAGGAGAAGCGTCGGCATCAGGTAAAGGCCTAGACGACGGAGAACCGCCACCACCATATACTGAAGGATCGAGTCCACTTCAGTCGTTTACATACGTTATGGCCGGCCCGGGGGGAGCTGCTTCTATCATTACACAGGTTCAGCAAACTGGGGGAGGACCGATTAGTACTCTTGGAGGTACGTGGTTACATTATGGTGTCTTGGTAGACGCTGCATGGTATTTGCTGAAATCGCTAACTCTTGTTGGTTTGAAGATGTTGGAGGCGATGATCATATAACGTTAGATCTACGGTCAGTATATACCTTTGTTGATGAGAGGGGCCCCTTTTCGAAGAGAAGTTATCATGTAACTGACGTCCAAGATAATAGTGGTACTCGATTCACGCTGTCGCGAGACGAACTGCTTACTCTACCCGAGTTCGTTTTGCTATCTCTATTCCCAAATGGACTCCTTCCTGATGGACACATGGGAACATTCCATGAGGGTGACGTATATCCCGTCGACGTAAGTGCAACGATGTTTTTTTTTTTTTTTTTTTTTTTTTTCAATCATATTATGTCACCTTTATTCCAACTCTATTGAAGTGAACACTCACTTAATATGAACTTTCAGTATGACCCAGCTTCCCTGCAATACATGCTAGATTTCTTCCGCACTGTAGCGCAATCGATTCCTTCAGCCACGCCATCTCCAACCGCATCAGCGGACGGCGATTATTCTATGGATCCTATGCATGGATCAACGAGGGATATGTTGCAAGGCCGTGCTGGCATTATTGTTCTTCGTGAAGACCTTGACTTCTACGCAATCCCTCCCGTGACCGATATTGACCATGCGGAAATGATTGAAGTTAAACGAGCAGCGGGAAGAGTCTTGTTGAAGCAAGACGGGATCTTCTCAGGCCTACGAAAAAGCGATGAGCCCGGATCGACTGAACAGCATCTTATCGAGATGTTAACCGCTGGGTAAGCTTTTAAATTACATTCCCATATATTTATATACACTCATACATTTATCAATTGCTAACGATATGACAGCGGTTTCAATCACGACGATCGATGGGGCCATCGCGCCGGGGAGCCTAACAAGGCCGTGATCTGCAGTTTGGCGCTGGCTAAGCTTCGAACGGACATGCGAGGTGATCTGTCCGGCAATAATGTGGTCGGCATGGCGCAGAAGCTACTTCTATTCTGGAGAAAACCGGCACGACGGTGCTGGTGGGAGGGCGTCGAGCTCGAGGGCGTCGAATGAGTTGAGGGGAAGCTCAAAGTCTGGATTCGCCGGGTATGGACTCTTGAAATGGTGAGTGTGCTCTCTATGTTATCAATAGCCCCTGTCTCTATTTGCTTGGGGTCATGAAATGTAGTGCTGCTGAACTAACGTACCTGTCTAGAGTGTCATTGGGCTACGCTGAATAAAATAATATATACTTATCCCAAGAAACCTCCCAAGCTGAAGCCAACTGAGTGCGTGTGAAACATATTTTCCTATGTTCTGCCACTGGCATGCCTACTTTTGTAATTATACCACGAATGCTTTGATTTCCTATTATTTCTTTGCTTTTAATTTTAGTCTCGATCTTATTTTATTACCCTTTTCAATGCGGTTACAAGCAGGTTTTGTTCCCCTGATAGTTCAGAAAACAAAGACGAAAAGAAATACATTATTGCCATTGCAAAAGCTCCATATCATGTTAATACGGGAGAAATTGGTTTATCTTTTATTCTTGATGTCTTGCACAGATCAATTTAATGTTCAATAGCAGTAGCTATTTCTACAGTTTTCCTCCATGGTTAGGTAACTGGCAGTCAAAGTTAGTTTCGATTTATTTGATTTGAGTACACTGAGTTCCTCCACCTACACGGGCTTCGAAATGGGTAGACCAAAAACAAGGGGTTCATTAAAATCCAATCATTGGTACAAGTTAGAACAACGTCTTTGGCCATGGGCAGGGAGGTCTTGCTACACACCGCATGTGGGTCTCAAGTGACGGCAAGGCGACCTTCTAACACAGGTAGATGTAGATGTATTCCATGTATGATCATATAGTTATATAGGATGCTCTTCCTCCGTATATGAAGCACAGGACGGATGTGTTTTCTCTCCTAAAAAGGATAAACGCAATCACCCAGTCGCGCTTGCCGTGGCGCCTAGAGACGAGGCTCTGCGGCTGCGCTAAACCAAATAGGGAATTAGCGTCATTGCGCCTGATCGAAGCGGTCTTTGTTGCAGCACAGGCACAACAACCTTGGAATCAGTACAACAATTCTGGGATCTAGTCAGTTCTTCTTTTTAACAGTTACTCCCGATAATTATTTATTACATCTGGGGCTCCTAGTTCTTCGTTTCCGGTTTTGAGTCCTGTTAACAGGATCAATTAAGAGCAATAGTGTGTGGTGTGTGTGTGTCTGTGTGTTCTGGCTTTAATCACACTGCATACATACATTCATTCTTCATCATATCTGAGCTTCACCAAATGAGTGAAGGCGTGGTAGGGAGATAGATACTGTCCCTGACCCCCAACATACGATAAAATGGCCCCGGTCTATGGGTATATGACCTCCTACTCTCCTCGCCTCCGCCAATACGCAAACGCGCTCCTCATCCCGAACATTCCCCCAACACAGAGCACCCCCGGTGTGCGGACGACGAAACGCGGTACCATTGCGGTAAACTATGCAGAGGATGGGTATGATGATGACGACTTCGAGGACAGCGAGGGACCTCGACGACCGACGGGACTGAGGAGTTTGAGGAGGGAAGAAAGCCAGCCGGATAGAGGACCAGCGGGGGAGAAGATAGGGACAGAAATTTCACATCCTGTTAATGTCCAGCCGAATTTTAGGGATTGGGTGGTTAGAAGAGTATCGAAGCCGTCGTATGTGTTTACCCTTTGAGACCTCACAAGAGACATACTGGAGGTATGATATGGTATAAAAACTTACTAGGGATTCGTTGGTTTCTGTTTAGGAAGAAGCAACATTTGGGCGTCCAGGTACAATTACCCTTGACATTAGTACCTATCCGTATCGACCTTGAAGTGCCCGCTTTCCAACCCGCAGAACCATTCCCTTTACCGCGAAACTACCAAGAACTCGGACTCAACCCTGCCTCCCAGGCATACCGGAAACCCGACCCAGCACCTCCCTATCGAATTAAGGATAGCTTTCTCTGGAATTTACACGAAGCACTAACGACTCCCGAGGAGTTCGCTCTGACCATGGTTCGCGACTTGGATCTACCGAATCCGCAGGCAATGGCCATGGCTATATCCAACCAACTCCGGCAACAGCTGGAAGAGTACGCAGGTGTCGCGCTACACCCTCTATTTCAAAGCCTGCACCAGCAACAGCAACAGGCCATTACGGGTAATCCCCACGCATCCATTTCCAGAGACGCCTCCGCCACACCTGGTACCACAAGCGCAGCGACACCAGCAACCCTTGTCGACACACCCACCGGCAAAGGAAGCGTGGTGGTATCATCATCACAACAACCCTCATTGAGCGACAACGAGCTAAACCCCGACGACGCATACCGCTGCATTGTCAATCTGAACATCAATCTCCAAAACAGACTCTACACAGACAAATTTGAATGGTCCTTGCTACACCCACAAGGGCTGGCCGAGGATTTCGCGCGTGTGACCTGTGCAGATCTTGGCCTGGGTCCCGAATGGGTCTGCGCTATCGCACATGGCATCTACGAAGCTGTCCTCAAACTGAAGAAGGAGGTGTGTGAAAGTGGCGGCTTAATCAGCGGGCTGGGCGGGTATGGAAATGAAATCGACAACCAGGCTGCAAATGGACAGGAGGCCGGGTGGCGGTATGACCCAGACGGTCTGGGGGATGAATGGGAACCGAAGGTTGAGACGCTATCCAAGGAAGAAATTGAGAAGCGTGAGGGTGATAGGGAGCGGCAGCTTCGTCGACTACGGCGGGAGACGGCGAGGTTTTCGTCGACGAGTGGCATTGCGCCGGAGTTGTCGAGGCAGCTGAGTTCGTCTGGTGGTGGTGGTGGTGGTGGCGGCGGGGTCGGATATTTTGATATTCCAGATGGTAGTGAGCCGATGGGGAGGGGGGAGAGGACGAAGAAGAAGCGCCGGTTCCGGAGCCTTAGTCCGTTGGGTGGGAGGAGTGGGACTCCGGGGAGGGGCACACCGGATACGGGGGCTGGTGCTGGGTATGGCGGGGGTGGAGGGACACTTAGCGACTGGTTTGTTGTTTCCTTTACGATGGTAACGGATGTGTGTGAAGCTAACATGTTGAATAGGGAGAGACAAACATGGCGCTGTTCCCATTGTGCTGTCTGGGGCACGGCGGTTTGGGCTGTTAGGGACGGGCCAGCTGGCCCAAGGGTGAGCAAACGATTCCACTCCACTCCCCAAACCATAGTCCCAGATGTGTGTTTCAGAATGAATACTAACAAGATGAACTATTTCTGTGTATTTCAGACTCTATGCCACAACTGCGGCTTGCTCTATGAGCGTGATAAGCGGCTACCAGTTTGGTCAAAGGGGCTTCATCTCCATGATGTACCTGTTGGGCGTTGATTTTTATTTTGAGAAAAACGAAAAACCAAAGATAAAATTTAAAATTGAATGTTTTTTGCTGCTTTTTGTGACTCTCGCATTCGAGCGAACAAACAAAATGCCTAGTGTGATGACGGCGTATTGGGTAAATAATTTTGTGTAATACTTATTCTGCTCCATCTCTCACAGTGGTGAAGTTCTTATTCTTTTCATTTCAGTCTTTTGCCTTCTTATTGCGACGAACTCTCAGACTCAACAGGGCTTTTCCTTCACCAACTTATTATGTGTTTTCTTTTTATTCCCCCTTATTTCCCCTATTCAGCTTGTTCTCTTCTGCTCGTGCGTGAAATGTATCATTATATGTATGTACCTTATATACAATCAATGCACTGTACCCCTTTTGGTTGTTATTGTTTAGCACGCAAAAAAACTCGTGCGTACTCTGTACACATGGAGGGAGATACGAGTAAACGCGCAATGTTTTAATTTTTATGCAAATGTGGATTTCATCTATTTCCGCACGTTCTTAATCAATGATTAGATCGTGATTTTCCTTGTGCCTTTTTTTTTTTTTTTTTTTTTTTTTTTTTTTTGCATTTGAATCCAGAGGTAGGAACTTGTTCTTTGTGGCTATTTTGTATGTGCGTAGGAACCGCTGGCAACTCCGAGGTGGGGGTGAGTATATTCATTCTTCCCCATACCTTTAATAACACCATCTTACAATACGTTAACACCAGAAACAGGAATAATTTAACACATCGTCCATTTGTGAATTATGTCTATATACATTAAGGGCCATGGGAACATATAATCCCGTCTTTTTATTTACATATCGAAAAGAGAAGGAATTCATTATTCATCCGTTCATCCATCACAACGAATCCTTTCTTTACCGGTTTATTATTGCTTGGCTCCAACCATACAACCCGACCTCCTTGTCCCAGACATGGATTTTAGATTCCCCACCCGGGGTTTGCCTCCAGTATTTCCCACCTTCCATATGAAATTAATGTATGCTTGCGAACATTATTAAACGGCAAAAGTCATTTTCTTCTACCAGAGCACTCAAGGAGCAACGGTGTGTCATAACAAATGCAAAGAGGCATGCACGGATACATACATGCGTGGTGCATGTGCTTGGTAGGTACACAGCTATGTTTTCCGGATCTGTGTGATGTGAAACTTGCAAAAGCGGTGAAAGCCAATGACGACGAAAGGTAATGCTTGGCTGCATGAGGGGTTGGAAGGGTAGCATAGAATAATCTGGATAAAGGGAGCTGTTGAAAACGGTGCTGTGCATGTTTTCTTTGGGAGCAAGGTGCTGGATTGAAAGACTTCCTGGTGGATGTTTCAGGCCGCTTGCGGGAATCTGAAAAGTCATGGCGAGGTAGGTTGATGACTTGATGCTTCTCAGGGAAGCGAGCTGGGAGAGAACCTCGATTATGGAGACGTACTCGTATTTGGACTAGACGAAAATTTCTCTGGGCGAGGCGCAGGACAAGAAAGATGCAGTTTCCACCCTGGTGTCGATAAGGATATGGTTTAGAAGAATGACATTGATGCAGTTGATGTAAAATGTACAGCATTGAGACTTCTCGGGCTAGAAGACGTTCTCATTTAAAGCTGAGGTTTCTTTTTGCAGAAGGCATGTCGACAGGTTGCTAAGAATGATTGTTAATAGGTTATATACAGAAAAGAAAATAATAATCAACAAAAATAT